CTTCGTTTGGTTACTCTTATGACATATCGAATTGGTCCTGTTGCCCCGTCACCTTCATGTGCCCCATAGACTACCGACATTGTACATGTTGCGCGCTTGAAGCCCTACAACTTGCTCTATGGCGTTGACATTTGGATGCGCCGAGACGGCGCTTCTGCCGCAGGGGATTATGCTATGTGCACGCATTATGCATATTGATATGCTGGGCGGCGACGCGCGTGTGTGCCTTACGAGAAAACGAAGGATTGCCTCGATCGCTATTGAGCCGGTCACACCATTACTGTTGGTTTTAAATACATCTCATCCACAGCCTCATCGATATGGCGGCGCGTCTTATCCGTAACAATATGAATATATATACATACTTATTGATCGCAATAAAAATCATCATGTCTTGACACCATATAATGTCATTGTGATGTCACAAAGGGCTAAAACTTGCGACACCACTTGATGGCGTCATCGCAGGACATTGTAGCTTGGTGCAAGGTGTTCAGATCACGGAGACCACGCAAAACTAGGCACAGTGCCTCCAATCTTGGAGACGTTGCGAAAACTACATTGGGTGCAGAGAGCTTTTAGAGGTTGCCAGTGGACTAAGAAGAAAAGGATGGTCTTCACCTTCGAGTAGTCGTAACTGAGTGACCAAGAGAACATATGAGCTTTTTCTCAGCACTGAATGACCGTGTTATGGCAAAGCTTACTACACGCTCATCATGGCAGGTAAATAAAGCCCACATTCTAGTCTTACTTGAAAGACGTGGTGCAAAAATAAAAATGACAATGAAGGTGAGACAGCAAGAACATCAACTCCCAACTCAGTTTATGTTCCTGAAGTATATGCAATCTAAACTTTTCTGAGTTGGCATCGTTATGAAGTTCACGTAAGTGATTATTGGTTGTTTTTCCACACTCTCGCAGTGGTTCAAACTGTGTGCAGGATTTAGTGACTTTTTTTCTGTTTTCCAAGCTTTTATATCGGGATTTATTTGGTCTTGCTGTTTCTAAGATACTGTGGTTGTGATCTGCATTTGATAACTTGCTTTTTTTTTTCTGCACGTGCAGTCAGTGGAATAATTCTGCTCATGTCCTACAAGAGCCTTTATAGTGCGAATGCTTCAGGAAAATAAACTTAGTTGTGAGTTGGTGTTTTTTCTGTCTCACCTTCGTTCTCGTTTTTAACCTTGCGCTGAGTCTTTGAAGTAACGATGCACCAATCGACCCAGCATAGAGTACTGTTAAGCTTCACATTCTATTCGTCTGTATTTTCAGATGCAAACATCACGAATTTTTGGCTTCCATGCTTACACTATCCTTCTGCTTTGGTGTCCTGTCTGACAGTGGTTCCCAAAGCAATGCCATTTTTTTTCAGGGACAGATTTTTCAACGAAATAAAACACTAGTGGGGACAGCATAGCTTTCAATACGTCGAATGTGGAAGTGAACAAGATTTATTATACTTACCGGCACTGTGTTTATGAAATACCAGTGTCAAATGAAATTTGTACAGCAGCAAGCATTCACAACAGTACAGTGCGTGCCGTCCACTTATCGCCATGGACTGGCGCGCATATGCGCAGTGCTGCCAAACAGCATATGCATGTGCCCGTCAATGGTGATGACTGGAAGGCGAGCACTATAGTATCAGGCTGGATACTTGCCAATGTACGGCTTCCTTTGAAGTCAATAGTACTAAAACGACCCCACCTGCTGAGCTGATGCTTGTTTTTGTGTAGCCAGTTTCTAGGGACTCAGGCAAAACAGTTGAAGCGAAAGTTTTCATTAGAAATTTTGTCAAGATCTCTTTGTTTTCATGCCTTATCTTAATCCTTTATACCACAATTACATTCTGGTCCTTTCATCTTTCGAGGAGCTCTGATTTGATCGATCTCGTCGGCCTTGATAATTCTGTGGTTCGTGCTGGGAGCATGTTATCATGGGGAACTTGGCTGGGCACTTGCAGCTTTGGGATTTGTCATCACCTGACAGGAGACCAGCGCAGGACCTCACATGGTGAGTTGAGGGTTCATCTAATTGCACTGGTTCGATAATCTACATGACCTTGTCCATCCCTCTTCACTTTTACATAAAAATGTATACTAAATACACCTGGTAACTCTTGGCAGGTATGATAGTACAATACATGGTATTTTTTGACAATACAGATTTTAAATATATATATATATATATATATATATATATATATATATATATATATATATATATATATATATATGGCAAGCAGGCTCCTGTCATTTCTACGCACAAACCCAATTTCAAAGTAGAAATACTTTGCCGCAACTGAAGGAGCACCAATTCGGCTGCACAATCGCTTCATGGCTTGCCATTGCTTTTTCTTGGCCAGAGAAATGCAGCTGCTGTCAGTTACGATAGCTTGTGCTGTAGCTCGCAACTGAAATGATTAGCAAGCTACATAGGTTTTGCATATAGCTTATCTTTCTTGCTACGTTGCTCAGCAGTGAAGCGGTCTTTTTTTAACAAATCGGTGAGTTACATGTGCCATAATTTACGAAAATTCTGTACGCATCAGCTTTTTTTTTTTGCCTTCAAAGACCGGGAAAGTATAGGAATGCTTAAAGATACAGGCTAGTAAAGCATTAAAGTCCTTAAAAATTTGAAGTCACAAGCACTGGAAATGTTGACACAAATTTCTGAGCTCACCAATATGTCTACGACTCCAAGTACAGCCTATGTTACAGATTCCAATCATGCACGAGTGCCCTGTAGTTAGCAGCTTGGTAAAAATGGCATCTGCATAATGGTAACAGAGTGCAGGCAGGTAAAGAATAAAGTTCCTTCAGCTGAAGCAAAAGCCTATGTCTCGCAGCTTAACTCTTTTGTTACTGCGCGAAAATGGCTATTTTTCACATGTCTTGGGAACATTGTTTTTGCCTATTTGAAAAGTAATCCAGGACGCATCGCAGCATACCAAGTTTTGCAAAATGTAATGCTTTCTTTAAAAAATATATATTGTAGAGCACGTAAAATATTTTAGAATGAATAAAAATGTGGAAAGTGTAATTTTTTGGTTGCCAGCAGGTAACCAAGAAAAAAAAAAACAGTATAAATGCAAAAATGTCCGAAACAAACAAAATCCAGAATAAACATTTCGAAAATAAATGACCCAGGAACAGTAAAAACAATATTAAATGTATAAAATGTGTCTATTCACATAGCTAAAGAAAATAAGAATAGAGGTGCTGCTTCGTTGCTCAGTGCCACGCTCTGAAACATTCCTAGGTTTTTATTGAGACACAAGCGAACTTGTACACTTTTTTCAGTAAATTGTTTTTTTTTTTTGCGATAAAAGGCTCTAGGTGTTTAAATACTAGATAGATACCCGTGATCTGAATAATAACTCTATATACCAGATATCCAATGAACTTCGCTATTTTATTTAGTGTAACCTCTTTCCATGAGTCACCTCACTCAGCATAGGTTGGGGTTCCTATATATGCATGCAAGCATATTTCTTAGCACTGTTCACATCGTAATAAAGAAAAACAACGATATGGCGTGAAGTTCTTAAATGTTTCGCACGGCTCCGTAGTCAGGGCCAAGACGTGCTCCGGTGGCCTCCTTGTCGTTAAGAAAAGCTCTGCATCCGGTGCCAGCACACCGCGCCTCAGTGAAGTGTGGACCTCGCACGTAATCAGAGTAGCTTTAGGATAGTGCACTTGCGGCGGCGAAGACAATTCAAGGCCGTAAACAGAACAATCCCATGAACGGCTGCGGATGTCTCAGCCTGATGAAAACATTGTCGCGACAAAACTTGAAGCTTGACGATAGTTATAGCGCGAGAACAAAACGACGACACAGACAAGAAGGACACTCTGTGTCGTCGTTTTGTTCTCGCGCTATAACTATCGTCATGCCATACCAACTAGCCCAAGCTGCCACACTTGAAACTTGAGTTCTGTTATTCACGTACGCTAACCTCATCCTCACTCAATTCAGGTGCGGTTGGAAGACAGTTTCGAGCGGTGCGCGTGTTTTGCAGCCCTGGTGTGCGCCCATGCGCGCGTGACGATACTCCATAGGAGCAACTAGTGACACTAGATGTAACCCCATGTCTGATATAGCAATTCAAGTAAAACCAAAGCTGCTGGAAACTGGCTGAGAAGGCGACCTCAATATTTTAAACATGCAACGAACCTTCAGAAATATTTTTGTTGAAAAAATTTCGCCCGACTCCCAGCAACAGCTCTTTATTGAAAAGCTGGCATACATTTCCATAAATTATTACTGCTCAACACTGGCAAATTGCAAAGCTGACTCTTTAATTCAATATTTGGCTTACAAAGGTTTCTTTGATTTCAGACCTTCGATGCTACTGTAGTGTAATCTGGAAGGGCACGCACTTTTGTCAAGTTCGTCAGCATAGTGCATTTTTCCCAACAACACACGCACATTGGTTCGTACAAACGTCTTTTAAATATTACTATGTTTAACTGGCAAATTCAAACTTATTCTGAGAGCTGAGTGGCTGGACTAACTACTAGAAAGCGCTGGGTCTATGAGAAACAAATTTAAAATGCCATAATCAAGAAACAAAAGCGTCCATCACCTGTGATCGATTTGAATAGGCACAGTAACGAGGGTTAATTCAGTATTAACTCTCATTTCGTTCTCTGTAAATCACTGTCTGATCCTCTGTTAAATTGATTTTGATAATCCTTCATTTAACTTCAATTCATATGTTATTCACATTTACTTCACCACTGATTCCTTGAGTAGTTCAGCTTATGCACGCAATAATCACTCATGATCAGCATGCACATGCTACATTAACTCACATTGCATTAACATTTACCTGTTTAATTTTCAGGCAGGGAATGTATTATGAGCCATGCGTGAATTTCGGCACCATTTGTGCTGTCAACATCAGCTGTTTTCATTTGTGAAGTTGTATAAAACTCACGAGTGAGCATTTTAATGCGAGCAAGGGCTTCATTCATGGATTCAAACATCACACACCATTTGTTGTTAACAGATTTTATTTGTTCAATAGTAGCAAAATCGCCTTCACGCAGAAAGGAAACAACTTTCCATGAGCATTTTCTACTAGAAACGGCAGTGGCACCGACTCAGAAAAAGCTAACATAAGCATAAGAAACCAAAAAAATCTATTCTAGCAGCAACGAATGAGAAAGTTTAGACTGTCATGTAATGCAGTAAACATTGGCACACCTGCTACAAACACAAGCGTGCGGTAATGGGAAGTAATGGGTAAGCTGGTACTCAACAGCACAATAATGTGGCATTATTAAACATGTGCAACATTCACGCTGAATGTGCAAGTCTGCAACTGTGCTGTGTACCGTGAGCGAGAAAAAAAAGTTGGCCTGAAGTACCTACTCCCTTTAGAGTATAGTACCTTCTCCGCTTAGAGCGCAAGTTTGCGTGAAGTTCCTACTCCCTTTAGAGGGTAGTACTTTCTCCACTTAGAGTGTAGTAAAAATGGCCTGAAGTACTTACTCCATTCAGAGTGCAGAACCTTCTCTGCTTATAGTGTAGTGCCTACTCCCTTTTGAGTTTCTTGCCCATCAGACCTGTGCTCAAGAAAATGCACCAACCCACTTCGGCTACTCGAACTTGCTGTTGTATACAAACGATACCTCCCTTTGGGTTTACTTCGATACCATGGCACAGTGTCCCTAGAAGCCCTTTTAAAGTTGCGAGAAACTGTCACGTTCATGGTGTAACTGCACAAAAAACCGACGGTAACACAAACGATGGGGGAAGCACACAACTGCACCTGCTTTTACTTCCCTGTTCTTTTGTGTTCCCGTCCGTTTTTTGCGCTGTTACACCATGAACAAACACCAACTAGCTCAACTTACCACTCTTCTGCACTGTCATGTGCCTGAAAGTACAAAGGCATCAACACATAACTTGCTAATTCTTAAAAAAAGGAAAACCAAGCCAAGCCGTCCATACCCGCAAAAACTGGCAGCGACCGTGTGACACAATCAGACACAGCGTCACACTGCACACACATCTCATTGCAACAATGAGTTCTTTGCCAAGCACCAACAGGGTTTTCAGTCGTCGCTAAACCCAGCACTAACCATCACGGCGTCAGGCTCATGCACGACCAATATTCCTCCATGGTTACCGAAGGTATTCCAGTAAACGCTTAAATTCAACTTCCAACAGGCCCCATGTCTAGCCACTTGTGCTGCCAGTGTAGTTTTTTCAGTGCTGAAACATTGCAGTTCGTGCTACAGATAAAGAAACCCTTCAGATATTTTAAATCTGTACACTATGCCTTACATTGGCCTCCAGTCAAACGGTGCAACTTCAAACAACGTGCACTCACACCACCAAACGTCTGCTCAAATGTCAACACTTTCGGGTGCAGCGATTAGTGCTTGGAAGACCTCACAGGTGGGCAAGTCATCAGCCCTGCAATATTTGGACTGAGACGAATGAAGCTTTCTAGCACAACTGTCCTTGGCATGTGAAAACGAAACTTTCATCCAACTACACACGAAAGGACTTCCACTCATTTACACAGGCTCACAAACAGCAATTACACATTAAACAAGCTCGAATGATTGTTTTTTAGTTGAAAAGCTATGCTGTAAAACACGTCCCTTCATCATGCCACAATACATGATCCTTAGAGCATTTGTAAGGATACACAGTAAAGCTTACTTGATAGGTATAAACGTGCCGCATAATATTAGTCTTTTCTTGTAACACAGCACGACTTCATAGCAGTGTACATACACATCCATACTATTAAATGCAACCAGCTCAACCAAACATTAGAACTTCTAGCACTACTACTGCACTCTCTGCCCTCGCTAACAGTTTCCGAGTTTCGAGAAACCTTACCCACAAGTAAAAAAATATGCGAGACGAAATTGTGCGTTCAAAATGAAAAGCTCAATGTGCTTAACGAAATGTGTGTAAGGAGAGTGGTCAATTATAGTAACTGCGAGCCAGTTATAGTCACCGTATTTGTGGAAATCTACGAAAAACTAAAGTCGGTACTAAGCGCCACATGCTTCGAGGCACCGCTTTCGCACCATCGTTTTGTGCACTCCCTAAAAGAAGAAAAAAAAAGCAATAAAAAAAGATCACTCTGATATTGCAAAACGCTGCTATCAATAAACGAAAGCTAATAATAAGCAGAGGAACACATTGATGTGTTGCGACTAGTCCTTAAGAGTTTCGATAAAAAAAAAAAAAAAAAAAATGTCTAGGGCAACTAAATTACTTCCAGCTGCCCCCTTCTTGCTCCTATATTCCCAACACAAAAAAATCTGTGAAACATGATTGGCGGCAGACTTGTCAACGGGCATAGAAATTACTGCAGTATATATGAGGCACCAAGATGTCCACTGATATATGGGAGTTGTCTAAGTGTGGCACCATCAGACGAGAATCTAAGCATCCTTGTCACTTTTCACAGGCAGCCAAACACTACAATACTGCACCTGTGCTGTTGAGCGAGGTCTACACACAAGCACAGTAGAAGCTACAGTGAATTACAGTGGTCTGCACCGAGCAAGTTGATGCATTTCGCGACGAGAATTGTTCCCGTACACCGGTAGACCTCCAGTTTGCAGTTACCAGTGGCACGGGCAAGCAGACAGTAATTTAGCTGATGCCAGGATTTTCAGTCTGCTTGTTGTACCCAGGCTACCCGTCACAACTCCCTGACAATTCACTGTAGAGCAGCCTGTTTTTCCAATAGTAGCAGACCACAACTTCCATATCGTGCCACCAGCTACAAAGCCTCTCCTGATCAGTCAATGAAGCCTGAAAGCTTGCGCACCCAGAAACATGCAGAAAATCGCATTCTCGCCATTCCCGCAAAGTTCTGACTGACAATTGTTCATTCAACTAGAGTTATAGAGTCAATTTTGAGAAAAAGGGCAAAGTACACGACACGTTGTCAAAGAAGCGAAAAAGAAAGGCAGAGAGGATGAAAGCTATTGAAATTAGGTATACCGTGCTTTAATGAGCAATTAGCCTCGAGCTAGGCTACCAGGAGACAGAAACGAACGTACAAGGGCCTTCAAAATTTCCCAGGCCACACATGGGATAGCGGCCTCAGAAGTTTCGATGGCCTCAGTACCTTGTAGAAAGACATAAGTACAGCAGTAAGAAGCACTAACTGTAGCTTGGATATGCCGAAGAGCGCTAATGGAAAAGAAGTTGAAGGAATAAAGAGCGACCTTTCCATTCATAACCCACTTGGAATGGCTTTGTTTCCCTGATAAGTTCAGCCGCTTCCACAGCGCTTTAAAAGGGCAAGAAGATGTGCAGAGAATGAGAGGTTCCCGTAGACCTCTCCTAAGAACTACGAAGGATTGTTTCGTGGAAGGTCCACAACAGCCACTGCTTTTCAAGAGTGCGCACACTAATGAAAAAGTTCATGCATTGTTGTATGCTTGGAGACCTTACAATTATTTGCATCAGCCAAATAAACGAAAACCGTGTTACTGGCCATGCTACTAGAAGTCGTCAAATAATCAGCGGAAATTACACTGGGCGGAACTCACAGACCTAAGAAACGAAGGACAGGACATGCACCCAGATATCATCTAGAAGAAAAAAACTAGGTGCAATATTTTCGCTGCAAATTCAGAGGCACTGCATAAAAAACTTGCCGTTTCTTTTGAATATTAAATTTTTTTGAGCTTCAGCCAGCCATCAAATGTGTGGCTTGTTCATATAAGCCTAACTACACGAGTGCTGTAAAGATACGATATGATACACGAGGTCAGAGGTTTGGCCATTTGTAAACTTCTTCCGGTACTGATCAGTACAATCTGCAAACTCCATATGTGCAGGTAGCGAGAAAATTTTTTTTTTATGTTATAGCCTTCACATTTAGCTCGCTGGAACGGCAGTGCAGTAGGTGTAGATTTCTCTATTCCAGAATGCCAGGATAGAAAAGAGTAAATGAAGAATGAAGAAAAAACTAAGGTACTTTGTAGAGTTCTTCAAAAGCTAGTCGCAATAAGCTGCAACATTCTTAGCATTACTGCGAAACACGAAATTAGTCATATTACTATAAAATAACTCAGTGTTCTAAGCCTGTGCAATAACTAGACTCTGCCACTTAGACAGGAGCCGGCAGCTACAACTGATACGAGACTGCAGCAGTAGAAAATCTGAAGTAGCTATTCGCCGTATGTCACTCATCCACACATTCATTCCAAGGTTGCTCATACGGACTGCCTAGCTGCTTCGGATAGAAAAGCCGTGCTTAGGGCAAAAACTCAGTGTGCGAAGAGAAACCAGATTTGAAATTCGAACATTCTGCTTCGCAACTACTAGGCCCCTAGAACAATGAGAGAACGTAGCACTAACGAGGAAGCAGAACGGGACGGGAAGAACCATACCAGATGTGCTCGCTGAAGCAGAAACATCTAGGGCCAAGCTAGGCGACTCGTCAGGAATGAAAGATGCCATGCAAGTCAAACATAAACATGTACATTAAAGCAAAGAACTAGTGCTGTACTAGTCACACTTTTGTGTCATTGCTCGAATCCTAGTCCCATTATTCTACAAGACAAGAGGTGCATGGATTACTTCCTCCCGTCCTCCAACCTCGTTAGTGCCGGGTCCTTTCATCAAACGGACAAATGACCATTCCACTAAAATAACCCTAGTGCAATACTACTGCTTGGGCTTCTGCTGCTCGACTGGGAAGCGAACCTGGCCGTGCCCCTCGATGCCAGCCTCGACGACGTCACCGGCACGCACGGGCCCCACACCGCTGGGCGTGCCGGTAAGCAGGAGGTCGCCCGGTTCGAGGGTGAAGCGCGCGCTGGCCGCCTCCAACAGCTGCTGGATGGTGAAGAGCATGTGCGAGGTGCTCCATTTTTGCCGCTGCTGCCCGTTCACCTTGCACCAGAGGGTGAGTGCGTGAGGGTCACTCACAGACTCCTTGGGCAGAAAGTGTCCCACGGGGCAGGAGGTGTCGAATCCCTTGGCACGCTCCCATGGGAGGCCCTGGGCTTGGCACTGCGTGACACAATAAGGCATGTGTGGAAGGAAATTCATTTGGAGGCTTTTTCACGCCAAAGCTGTATGTGGCTTGGAGGTGGAAAAATGAGGCAGTTTATGAGTGTGAGAAAACTATAATGAAGCAATGCTATCATATGTTACCTCAAAGGCTCTAAACACTTGCACTGGTTTCTCTTTAGATTTTGTTGGCATGCAACACAGCTAGGGATCACACCCATCACAGCATGAGTTGCTATCCATAAACTCCTTTAGGTGTTCCTAATAACATCCTTTAACATAATCTCATTAAACCCAATGTTTGAAGTGTGCATCTCTTAAATGTGGTTATACTAGACATATTAAAAGTTAGAACGAAAAGCTCTTCAATAGATCCCAGCTCATGACAAACACTGCTTGGACGGCAATTATTTAACACAACTGCATGAAGGCAACCAATGATGAAGGCAATGAAAGTCCAGAAAATGTTTTTTGTTGTCATAGGACCCATGAGCAGTTTGCAGATATTTGAGTGCGCATCTGCTGTGTGGAGCAGCCTCTCACAGGACATTGCTGTTCACTTAATTGAAGGGCCCCATGAACATCTTTCCAAGTGATCATCGAATGGTGTCACTACTGAACTTTCATTGCCTCACTGATGTTCAGCTGCGAAGAATTAGAAGTATGTAGTAAGTGGAGTTACCAGCATTGCTAAGCTACAAACCGTCTCCTTTTTCTCTCATACCGATGAGCATGCTGCAAGCTAAACAGGAGAAGATGGCTTGGAGCTAACCTCCGAATGCAGAGATGTTACTTGACTCGTACTTGACTCGTTCCTGACTCAAGACAGTCTTGTCGGTCACCATAAATCGTTCTCGAAATCGGGGACGACTTGAAGGCGTTTTGGGTTGGTCGAAGTCAGGAAAAGTTTCAAGTCAGCTGCGGGGCTAGCTTGAAAGCGACTTCATGCGTTATTCCAACATGGCCACCTCTCGAATGGACGTCGCGCGGAGGGTGGCGGCTTTTGAGTTTGCTTGCCTCGCCATAAGCGTAGCATTTTCTGAGGCGCACTGCCTGCCGAAGATTCTTGAACCCGCTTTACGTGACCGAGAAAATCCGATGGAGTTGTACGACGAGGAACAATTCCACGCTCGATACAGATTCACGAAGAACGCCGTGCGGCAGCTGCTGGGTATGTTGCCGCTCCGTGAAAGTGGGGACAACCGAGGACAGCCTGTGCCTCTAGTGTTACAGCTACTGATGGCTCTCGGGTTTTACGGCGCTGGCACATTCCAAACAGTCACCGGGAATCTCACCGCATTTCGCAGTCGACAGTTTGCCGTGCAGCAGGAAAAGTTGCGCTACTCATGGCAAAGCACCTGTACGCAATGCTGGTGCGCTTTCCGCAGCCGGCAGCACTTTCTATAGTTATGGGGGACTTTTATGAAGTGGCTGAGTTCTTTGGTGTTACAGGCTGTGTTGACTACTCACACGTGCGTATTATTAGGCGGGGACGACGCCGAAGTGTTCCGTAACCGCAACAGCCTTTTCTGTTTTTCTTAAACACGACAACAATTTCCACTTCTTTCGGTACAAAATTGACCCGGCGCTGTGTCTGTGTGCCTCGTCTATCCTTTCGTCCCGTCTAGGGCGCTGTTTCTCGCTCAGAAAGGCATCGCTTGTAGCACAACGCTACGTAAAATTCCACAAACATAAAAAATAGGTGCCCCTATCACGGCTTTTTTTATCTGCTTCACCATCATGCAGCGATACACTGCTGCACCCCGCGAGACAGAATTCTGCTGAGGGCAATGTCCTGAACCCCGCTTTTTCTCTTGTTTACCCAGCTCAACAAAAGGATACGAATCACATTTGTTCCCAGAACTTATTTTTTTTCACAATAACTGCGACCTAGCCCACTACAGACATGCACACAGGTGAACAGAAAGGCAAAAACCGTGAAAATCGTGTCACCTCGTGAGCCAGGTCAGCACAAATACATGCCGTAGCGTTCGATTGAAAAAGACAAAAAACTACGAAAGAACCCAACGCGATGCTTGTTTCGCATCCAAACAAGCAACCGTGGAGGAACGCGCCGCATTTGGGTGGCCACTAAAACCAGCGGGCAACGATCGCTTCACAGAAGCAACACTGTGCATCGCTGTGGCGGCAGGCACCACGTGCTGCTCGTTAGTCGTAAAATATGCTTGTGGCCCTTCGTTTTTATAGTTATTTTAAAACGTATGGTCTTTTTTTGCTGTAATGCATGCCTTACGCGAACAACTTTATTATTACCCTCGTTAGCAAGCGAGCAGCGTGTTTCTGCTTTGAAGCTCGTTCTTGGCTTGACCAAGCAAGACAGCCTGAGCATCTATGAAACGCGAAGGCTGACTTGAGCGTTTTGAAGTCCGCTGCTTGCTTCACCCCGACTTGCTCAAGTTAAGTGGAAGTCGCGAGCGAAGTAACATCTCTGCATTCGGGGGTAAGTTACGCTACCACATGTCATAGCCTTAAGCAATTTTTTTTCTTTGAACGTGTTAGCTGCCACTCTCAGCTCCGACAAGCACTGCCATAGTGTTCACATCACACTACACTGTGGGCATGTGACAGCATCCCATGGCAATCACAGTACCCACACTTGTTCGAATGCAATTCCCGGCAGAGCCAGGCGGTTGAACAACACATGTCCCAAGCAACGAGTTAACTTTTATTAGCGGATATCCCGTCAAGGAGAGGTCGGATTGTCTGCGCACATGTGCACTTGATAGTACCCTCGTGCACCGCTTTGCGTCACCACAGTGTAGCGCTTTGAGTCGCCACACAGTAGTACTACGACACTACTTACACGAAAAAGCACAAGTAATGCACAGCACTGCAATCGAGTAAGTAGGTTACAGATTTTCATTTAGCATTGCTTTAAGAAGTGTTCACCTGTCTCTGCAGCTGCCGATCAGTCATGTCCAGTGCTACCACATATCCTGCCACGTAGTCGAGGGCCTCTTCCGCACGAATGGCCGAGCCTCGGCGCCCTACGACCACGCCCAGTTCGACTTCGTGGTCCAGCTCTTCACAACCTCGAGGAATCTGAAATGACGAAGGGACACGTGCATGGCCGACCCAAAAGGGAACACGAGCACTGGTGTCTATGGGACCTGCACGCGTGGCGCTTCAGCGTGCATGAGAATGATAAGTGGTACACAAATTTGTCTTATCTTCGTACTTTTGCCTCTGTTTGGCCTGGCATGGCTTGGAGCTGCTTAATCACAAAACAACAACCACCAAAGTTCAGTAGTTGTACTTCACCACCGACAGCTTTGAGGCTCAACAATTCAAATTGGCTGACGATGTTCACAAAATTCCATTCTTCTATACGAAACAAAACCAAAACACAGAAATAAAAAAAAAAAGCCACAAGTGCGTTCAAAGCACGCAAGCACCAAGACTAGGCAAATCTGTGTACTGCCCATCATTCCCAAAGTGGCTGAAAGATCACAGCGACAGTACGGCACATACACTCACAATGTATGTGCCATACTTTATGACTCTGCGCCATCTTGATAGACAAAAACTTCACAAAAGAAAAATGCATAAATCTCAACTTTCCCTTTTAATACAAAGCTTATTGAACCAATTTGGAGCTGTGCATTATTGATTCTAAATGTGCAAGAAATATACAGTCAGTTTACAATGCACACAATTATCCATAACTTATGCAAGTGCTAAAGGCACGTACGTAAGATGAGCAAAGGACACAGGACAAGCACAGGACATAATTATTCACCTTCTAATAAGGTTATGCGATTTCACATTATTTCCCCCACGCCAGTGCCATGTGTCTCAGGTTCTCAGACTGCCGAGTGAATTTTCTTGTGCTGAACTTACCATAATAGACTGCCCTTCGGTAATGTAAGCTGTTGGAGGCTTCATGAACAGCAGCGGCTCCTTGGGCACAGCATGGCCCAATTCCTCAGCGTGCTCCCTGCAGGGAAACACAGCCACCGTAATCAGCCTCCAACTACCTGAAGTCTCGCACCCGCCTCCTTTTATAAAGGTTATCTCCAACCTCGAGAGGTCAGAGCAACAGCAGAAAATGAAGATGTAAACAGCAGCGAGACAATGTGAGCACCAGAAAAGGAAGTCTCAACGGTAGCTGGAGTGAGAGAGTGAGTACTTCAGTGCAGTCCAAAGGTGGCAGAGGTTGGACAGGATCGTAGCCACCTGGGTGGAATCATTTGGCTAGCTCAGCCAGGTGGCTCCAACCAGGAAGATGTTGGAGACTCACTATATCACCATACAAGTCCTGCTTTTTTCCCCGAGAAACCGTATACACTCTACCATACTACACTCTAAGCCAAAATGGAGTAACGGGGGTATAGTGGTTGCTCCTTTCAGGGAGCAGCCTTTTCACAATGTCCCGGGCCTCATGAACGGCCAGGAGTTGGTTACAGAGCTCTGCGCTGCACCTGGCAGCCTTTCAAGAGAATTTGTCCGATAATTCTGTACTACCTAGTTTAAGGGGCTCAGCCAAAGCATGTGGTCTAAAGCTACAGCACCCTTGATTGCAATGTTGACAGTGCGGTGAAAAGTCTAGGTTCGTTCTCTTTAGCACGGTTGGTGTAATGTACATGTCTGTGTGCAGTTGTCAGAGTATGATCGCTTGCGCTTTATTCAAGTTAGATTGTTGGAAGAAGCTTGAACTCAACTTTCTTGACTACGGAGACTGAAGTACTGCAAAGGTTTTCAATAGGCAGCAGCAAATACTACGTTTGGCAGTTGGCCAGATGCCCCAGTGAGAACGCAGCACTGGTGAACACAAATCGTAGGATGTTCTTCTAGCTACTTGCTGCAGCATGCATGAATGCCAAGCACAGTTTAAAGCAGATGACGTGACAGTCTAGAAATGAAAAAAGAACTTGTTCAAGAGACACTGAAGGCTGTACTGGTGTGCAGGGTAAGCAAGCCATCTGTCGAATTGCCTGTAGCTGACATTCCTAAAGAATGAACTTTATATAGCCGAGATCTGAATACTCTTTCTTTTTTTGACGTAATTGAAATGTTGAATGAATTGTCGGTGTGCGCTGCCAAACAGAATAAGGCGACGCAAAGCGGCGCTTCTGTGTGCGGGGTAGAGAGCACATGCGCCCGCACACGAGAGAGTTACCTTCGAGACGAAAGGTGATAATAAAAGTCAGTTGTTGTTTGGGACGCGAGTTGTTCACTTGCGCAGCTTTGCCGAGCGCCGCATCTCAACAAGAACAACTTGTCAACATTTGAACGGATCTTGAATGACTATCTGTACGAGTGTACTCCTTGATCTTCGTGCAACCTGTATTTGCGAAAGATGTTTTTTCTTTTCTTTATTATGTTACCCTTTCTGTAAGGACTGTCCCAAGAAGTTGACAGTATTGTGAAATAAAACTACAGACACAGCTTGTGATTTGCACTTATAATCAATGCACGCATGTATACTACAGTAAAACCTCGCTGATTCAGATTTTAAGGGACCAAGAAGTGTACCAATTATTTAATGCCGAATTATCAAACTATCAAGAAAATCACAAACAAGTGTCTATTAGATCCATTTTCTGAATGAATATTAAAATCCTGTATTTATTTTGCATAATAGCAGGGTAGAAGCCACATTTGTCACTCGCGACTTCGTTCACCATGTGGTGACCTTGCTTCAAGGCCCTCGTGCCTCAAGTCGGAACATGCCCTAAACCCATCCTTTATTACATACCAACACCACAACATGCACGTGACAACAATTATTTTGCCAGGAACACCAGCTGGCGACAGGTTGTTCATCCATCACATTTCAGCGGGTTTTATGCCAGCAGCGAAATCATGGCTGAATCTCTCGATCTTCCACTGCTTCCGATGTTGCTTTATTTTTGCAACATTGAACTTGCATTCCCATGTCAAAATGAATGAGAATGCTGCATCTGTTACAAATGAAGCCGTGGTCACTAAAGGCATGACCATAGAGTTCCAGACAGTTGTGAAAGTACGCGCGCAGGCCTCCATCCACAGTTCGAAAACGGAACTGCTAAAGCTAATGCACGATCATGATGGTTATGCAGTTGTGAAGGCGCGTGGTGAAAGCTGATTGCCGCAGCTTTGACATCAGTTGCTATTGACACGATGATAGATAACACCAATGTGGTTCACAGGCACCAAGTAAAAACAAAAATGAAACAAGTTTGTGGTAGCTGCTGATACCTCGGTCACCAGCACTGCCACTGTGGTAAGAGTGTGGATGGCGGCTATGCCTTGCAGAAAGCTAGCGATAGTTTCCGTTGTCTTCAAACATGACTTTTGTTCCTTTGTGCCTCACACTTGTGGCACTTCGTGCGCTTCAAGGTTGGCCCAGATTGACTTGGCTGCGGTCGAATAGGATCGAACTAACGAGGATTCGGTGCCACTGAACAATATAATATACACATTGGCCAGGACCAGAAAACATGTTTATTCAATTTTCCAAATTAACAGGGGTCAAGTTAATGAGTTTTCACTGGATGTCTTGACTGCATAATTGTGGCCCAAAGAAGGGTTATACTACTTTAAAGTAGGGAAGAACACATGACAGGCACTCGTCTTTCCTTGCACTGCACCAGTTCACCCAACATCATCTCCCTCTGCACGCGCATGCACGTTTCAGAAAAATATTTGTTAAAAGATATGCCTCAAATTTTGTGCCACAGCTCTGGTCCTATGCACCAACACAAGCTGTCCCTGTGAGCTCCATCAGTTACTTTTCTTTTCAATAGGCTGCAGGCACTGAGAAATATAGTCTGCTGATTGCACAACTCCTATAAAACTAAGCATCCAGTAAGTCGCGTTAGAATCCCATAACATGACTTCTGTGCATCTCTCACAGTGCGAGATTACGGGTGTCTTTCAATAACCACTATTCGTGAAATAAGAGACCACAATGGCACAGTCAGTGCTCACGAATAGTAAAAGATGGCAAGCTCGCAACAATCGCAAGAAATAAGCACCTGCTGGACCATCAGGAATATAGAATTAAAACTGTATAGCCTATATACAAAACTGCCTGAAATTGGCCTATGTTATAAAGAATCGTCTCTTCTGCCACCAGTGGGTGGAAGACCCATTCAACTGTGCGACAGAAGCCATGCAGTGCCGGTCTCTTGAAATATAGACTTTCATATGAGAAGTTTATGTGTCGCTACGAAGTAAACTAACCAATGTTGTTCATTGACGAAAACTCTGGTGGAAGCCGGCCAAGGTAACATACTTAATATTGTTTTGGCTTCAAGGAGCGAATAAATAAGTAAATCTTGGTTTGCGTCTATCAGTCTTCACCAATGATTCATCTCTACTAGATTATCTTCATCAAAGCTCCGTTTTCGTTAAATGTTAGGTGCGTACAACATCTATGACAAAGGTGCGTCGTCGTGGTCCTAACCTTCCACATTCTTCCCCCTTTAGTAAGACTTTCCTCATCTTTGCATACTGCATCCACCTAGCATACCGAGTCAAATTCAACAATCTTAAGTTCACATATCAAGCTACCGCTAACTTTATGGCTTGACGAAAAATAAAATGTTAGCAAGTTAACACAGTTCGGTATGTTGTGGCAATTTCTCTGATGCTGAATTCAAAACATGCGCCAGACAGAGAGCTGTTTTTGGGTAAGGGTGTATTTGTAGAGGTTAGCCTACACATTCACTAAATGATAATGGGTGGTACCTGTGCCCTTTGAGGTATTGTTGGAGCCTCATTGATTCAGTTTTCCTGCAGGCATTAGACAGTGGCATAATCAAGAATGTAAGACATTTCTGAGGTTCAACATCAAGGAACCAGTTTATCCCGAGCTGTATCGACATGTATTTCGATGATAATCGCTGTGTGGTTCGTGAACACAGAAAAAAAAACTTGTTAGACAGGCAACAGCTATTTACCATACCAACCAACCAGGTTCCCAACCTGCAGCTTTCTTTCGAGCAGTTAACACTTCGCATAAGAGGTGTCATGCTTGTAGGTGTCTCAACACAAGGAATAGATTGATATTACAACACTGGATTTAGACAGAAAAGGGGGTTTGTATTTCGCTTGCCCTTGCAGACGTTCATAAATGTTTCAAACACGCATGCCTAGTGTTGTGCTATTAGTTAAGCACGTACAACCAAATAATTAAAGTGCCACACTTTAAAAATGCAATGAACACTCAGCAAAACGACAAAAGTGAAGGGGTGTGATACTACAATCCACGCACTTTTTTTTTTTTTTGACGTAACACGTCAGCTGTAGGAGCAAGTGGGATCGTGCAATGTAGGACCGATAAGCCGTGTATAGCGACAGGTCAGGTTGATACATCTGTATTTACCACCAGAATTTCGCAGAGGTTACGGCCAGGCTGCTTGCGTGTCACTGCTCTACCCAGGTCCACAGGCCCCTTCAACCCCCTCCACCAGAAAAGAGAGAGAGAAACAGAACCGCAATGATTGAGCAGAAAGCGTGCATTGATAGTGGTGAAGTACGGACCGTTTCATGGCAGCACCACTAGCGTACAATAATAGATGTGTTTTATATACGCAATTCTACAAGCGGAGGGCAATAGCCTCTACGAGAGCAGCGGTAGAGTATAGAGGATACGGCACCAAACGGGGTAAAAAAAGCACGCACTCCGAAGGCTATCAGCATTCCTGCGCCAACTAAAAAGCCGCAATCCGAATTACGCAATGAACAGCTGCCAATGCCCAGCAGCGGAATGCGATGTCTCGACGACTACCGTCATGTTTACTATACAGAGAAGGAAAACTTAAGCTGAACAAGCACAAAACCCTTTGATTGATTTGATTGATTTGTGGGGTTTAACGTCCCAAAACCACCATATGATTATGAGAGACGCCGTAGTGGAGGGCTCCGGAAATTTTGACCACCTGGGGTTCTTTAACGTGCACCCAAATCTGTGCACACGGGCCTCGACATTTCCGCCTCCATCGGAAATGCAGCCGCCGCAGCCGGGATTTGAACCCGCGACCTGCGGGTCAGCAGCCGAGTACCTTAGCCACTAGACCACCGCGGCGGGGCAAGCACAAAACCCTTAGCGAGGCCGACAGCATCAATAGTTGTTGTTTTACTGTAACAATATGACTTGACGTGGTTAGAAAAGTTCCCGAAGTACTGACTAGTTGGAGAGACGCACGCGGGCGCCCACTTCGTAACGCGAAAAATAAAAGTTCATCGCACGTTTATCGCAGATCCGTATTCCCTCTCCCCGGCGAGGCGTGCGTAAGTACGAGAAAAACAAGGCTCTATAAACTCACCTGTAGTTTCTTCCGACGCATATTATCTTCCTGCCGAATTCCACAAATCTGCTTAGTCTCATGCTTGTGTTCTGGTGTTTTCCTTTCCGCTGGTAAATTGAAACCGGCCTTGCCGAAAAACAAGCGGTCCCACAGCAGCCCAAGCAGAGTCCCAAGAGCCCGCAGCAGAAAGTGGCCGGAGTGCTGACCGGATTGAATTGGCTTGGCTCGATGCCAGCTCTTTTACATGCCATGGTTGGACAAGTCTTGACTCGCATCATCATCACTTTGCACATGACTTCTCCACAAAATATAACGTATAACCAGCTCGTTCACACAATAACACAATATAAATATACTTATAACGGCGCATTGTATATATTGTTACGGATGTGATGGGTTTATTTACAATGAAAAATGTCAGCGCTCTACCGTCACTGCCGAATCACCATCGCTCGAGCGCGTCCGATCTCTTCTTCTTCCTCGCTCTTTCAGTCCGCGTTACATTGCCCTCCGGGCCAGACGAAGCTCACCGAGCGAGTAGAAGCGATCGGTTGTTGTAGGGCTTCAATCGGGCAATGTGCACAATTTGCGTCTTGCGCGAACGCCGGTTCTGAGCTGTCACTCTCGCGACAGTGTAAGTGATGTCACTTAAGCACTGAGTAATCACAAACGGTCCTGAGTACTTAGAAAGAAACTTCTGGCAAAGTCCCTTTTTTCGAACAGGCGTCCACAGCCAGACCAAATCACTTGTAGCGAAAGTCACGGGCGGGTGTTTTGCGTCGTAACGGTCTTTCGCGCGAGCGTGGGCGGAAAGAGTTCGGAGCCGAGCAAGTCGACGAGCTTCTTCGGCGCGACACAAAGTCTGCGCGACACTGGCATTTTCGTTCGTCGAAAATGGAAGTATGGTGTCAAGGAAACTTTGCGGATGACGAGCATAGAGAAGAAAGAAAGGCGTATAACCTGTGACTTCGTGTTTCGCGGTATTAAAGGCGTATGTAACAAAAGGTAATACGGCATCCCAGTTCTTGTGATCCGCTGCGACGTACATTGAAAGCATGTTGATGATGGTACGATTGGTGCGCTCAGTGAGGCCGTTGGTCTGAGGGTGGTATGGCGTGGAATGGCGATACTGACACCCACAAAGCCGTAGCAACTCTTCGACAACGTCAGCGGTAAACTGACGGCCGCGATCACTTATCACCACACGAGGGGCCCCGTGACGAAGTATGATCGAGAGTAGAAGAAACCATGACACATCAGATGATGTGGCCGAAGCAACCGCCATCGTTTCAGTATACCGCGTCAGGTAATCTACGCACACAATAATCCAGCGGCGGCCGGTGGTAGACTTGGGGAAAGGGCCCAGTAAATCTATGCCGACTTTTTCGAATGGTGATGTTGGTGGCTTAACCGGCTGCAGTGGACCGGCCGATGGTGTGGTAGGTTGTTTGTGGCGTTGGCAGACATCACAACTTGCGACGTAGTGCTTGGTGGTCTTCCAGAGTCGAGGCCAGTAAAAACGTTGTCGGATACGGTGAAGCGTTCGGGCAAACCCAAGGTGCCCAGACGTGATCTCATCGTGCACGGCTTGGAATACCGCAAGACGCAGTCATTCTGGCACGACGAGTAGTAGTGTGGAACCATGGCTGGAGTAATTCTTGCGATATAGTAGGGCGTCATGAATCACGAATGGCGTGGCGAGTTTAGAGCTACGAGCCACATCAATCATTGGTTTCAGTGAAGGGTCACGCTGTTGTTCGTGACGAAAGACATCCAAATTTGGGAAGTTGGATGAGATTGCGGCCAGGTAGTTGTCAAAATCATCATCATCAGCATCCACAGTTGGAGATGGAAGACTAGATAAGCAGTCGGCATCTGCGTGACATCGACCGCTCTTGTAGGTCACAGAATAATTATATTCTTGAAGCCGTAAGGCCCAGCGAGCCAACCGACCAGCTGGGTCACGTAGTCCGACAAGCCAACAAAGCGAATGATGATCTGTGACGATCTTGAACTGCCGGCCGTACAAATAAGGTCTGAACTTTTGGACGGCGAAAACAACTGCAAGACATTCCAGTTCGGTGACCGTATAATTCCTCTCCGCCTTAGTCAAAGTACGACTTGCATACGCCACGACGTGCTGCCGGCTATCGTGATATTGAACTAGCACGGCACCAACTCCGATACCACTAGCATCTGTATGCAGTTCCGTGAGTGCCTCCGGGTCGAAATGGCGCAAGAGGGGCCCAGAAGTAAGCAAATACTTCAGCTGCTCGAAAGCAGCCTCACACTCAATGGTCCATCGAAATGGAGTGTTTTTGCGGAGCAACTCTGTCAGGGGATGAGCAAGCTGGGCGAAGTCTTTGATAAACCGACGAAAATAAGAACACAGGCCCACGAAGCTACGGAGATCCTTCAAAGACGTCGGTTGCTTGAAGTCTCGGACAGCACTGATTTTGTGCGGGTCTGGTCGTATACCGTCCTTGTCAACTAGATATCCAAGCACAAGGGCTTGACGCTCACCAAAATGACACTTCTTTGCGTTTAAAACGAGACCAGCTTGTTTGACGCAGTCTAGAACAACGCTAAGCCGATGGTTGTGTTCGTGGAATGTCTTGCCAAAAATAATTACATCATCGAGATAACACATACATATCTCCCATTTGAGACCGCGAAGAATGGAGTCCATGAATCGCTCGAAGGTAGCTGGGGCATTGCATAAGCCAAACGGCATAACGTTGAATTCAAATAATCCATCAGGCGTGACAAAAGCAGTCTTCTCTTTGTCAGACGGATGCATTGGTATTTGCCAGTATCCAGACCTTAGGTCGACAGACGAAAAGTATGCGGCCGAGTGCAGACAATCAACAGCATCGTCGATGCGTGGTAGCGGATACACGTCTTTCTTTGTGACGGCGTTGAGACGGCGGTAGTCTACACAGAATCGCCAAGAGTTGTCTTTCTTTTTTACCAATATAACAGGAGCTGCCCAGGGACTGCTTGACTTTGAATAACGCCTTTCTGCAGCATGTCGTTGACCTGATCGGCGATCACTTGCCTCTCTGACGGGGATACGCGATAGGGTTTCTGGCGTATCGGTGTAGCATCTCCCGTGTTGATGCGGTGGTGCATACGGGATTCGGGCAACATGGAACAACGCTTGTTTTGAGCGAAATCAAAGACTCCCGCGTAGCGTGTAAGTACCTCCTCAAGGACATTCTGCTCGGAAGAAGGCAACGACTTGTTGATCATACGTTTAATCTCGGCTGAGTAGTTGGGCGCAGTCTGACTGATAGCTGGAGACTCTGAGACCATTCTCACGTCAATTGTGGCCTGCTCCTCGAACGTACCCAGTTTGAATCCGGCTGGTAGAACAACAGGCTCTGAGGCTGCGTTGAGTGCCCACAAGCAAGCATGTCCGTCGATGGCTGTAAGGACAGACCGTGGGACCAGCACATTCTTCTTAATGGCGTTTGCATGATCAGGCTCCACAAGTCCAGTGCAGGGTCCTGAGCGGACATGAGAAGAGCATACGGGTACAAACACTGCTGTCCGACCAGGGATCGTCACATCTTCAGACAACGAAAGAGCATCGATGGGCAGAGTCGGAAAATCGTCAACTATTGCAGCGGGCAACGTACTTCGTAGAAGAATCTCTCCAGTTCCACAGTCAAGCGTAGCGCCGCATTCATGAAGGAGGTCTATCCCTAAAATGATGTCATGAGTTGCGCGAGCCAGTACGGTGAATTCAACTCGGAATTTTTGTCCACCAATCGTGAGTACAACTGAACAAATACCAACAGGGCATAACGTTTCGCCTCCAACTCCACGAAAAGTTTCTTTACGATTCCACGCGAACATAACTTTGTGACCCAAGAAACGATGTTTGAAACGAAGGCTCATAACCGAAACAGCAGCACCAGTGTCTACAAGAGCAAGAGCATCTACACCGTCTATACACACACGCACTTTGTTCATCAACATCACAGCAGAAGGAGGAATTGGCGAAACTGACCGTCCCGCGACCGCACCTCCATCGGTCGCACCAGTTAGTTTCTCAGCTGATGCGGGGAAGGTGACCGACGACGCGGAGACGGCGACCGGCGGGACCGTGTCGGAGGCGGCGTCAGGCTTCTCTCGGAGGCAGGGGACTTGCTGCGAAATTCGTTAGGCCATTGCTGTCGGGGACGGTGGTCGGCCGAGTGAGAGGTCCAGGTTTCGTGCATACGAGGCGGGTGCGTCGAAAAACGTGGCGGCACAGGCGTTTCGTACATACGAGCCGGATACGTCGAAAAACGTGGCGGTGCAGGCGGCCGTCTGGGACAGAAGCGCGAAATATGCCCTGGGAGACCACATGTGTAGCAAACGGGGACTTGTCGACTTACGTTAGCCGGAGCAGAGGTGGCAGAAGTACGCGGAGACGGGTCGTGCTCCGCAGGAACATTTTGTGATGAAGCATAGTAATCTTCTGGTAGAGGCCTGGTTGACGACGGTCGGGGGTCCGCAGCGGCACGTCGAGATGATGACATCCGGTGGTGGCCACGACCCGTCGGGGAAAACGGAAGCCGCGGGGTAAAATCTGCAGTTTCTGTGCGTGGTCGGTTTTCGACGTGACGCTCTCGCATCCAGTAGGGAGGTGGTTCGGGGCACGCGGCGAAGGAGCATTGGTGGTGAACGTCACCTGCTTGAAGTCGTACGAGCTCTTCTCGAACTACCCGACGTACGAGGTAGGAAATGTCTTCGCAGGTGGCGACGTCCACACTTGCGACAGTGGGAACATTGTCCAAGCGCCCGAACTTGGGTAAAATTCTTCGGGTCTTCAACGCCTCGAATGCGCGACACTGCTGCCTGAAAATCGAAGGAGTGTTCAAGTTTTCTTTTGTTATCAAAAAATTGTACACGTCCTCGGCGATGCCTTTCAACAAATGACCGACTTTGTCTTCGTCAGACATATTTGCGTTGACAATTCCGCAAAGCTTCAACACTTCTTCAATGTAGGTTGTGCACGTCTCGCCGGGCAACTGAGCCCTACGTGACAGCGTTTGCTCAGCTTTCTTTTTCATGGAACTCGTGTCCCCAAAGCAGGCCTTCAGTTCCTTAACAAATATATCCCAAGTGGGGGGGACATGTTCATGGTTCTCAAACCAAAGCAAGGCTGTCCCGGCAAGGAAGAATACTACGTTCACGAGC